TTGTGTATACAAAATGTATCAATTGCTCAGGGAAAAAATGTGAGTTACCATTCAGTCGTTCCCGCATATTAAATAAATTAAACTTTTTAACAGGTGGGAACTCTTAAAATAGCCTATTAACTAATCTGGCCCATAAGCTATCTGCGTACAAAACTTCATGCAAATCCGTTCAGTCGTTTCCGCGTGATGATTTCCCAAACATCCAAACATACAAACTTTCACATTTATAATATTAGTAAGAGTAAAATAAGATTATCAATAATGATTTATTGCTCTAACATTAACAATGTATATTCTGCACTCTCTCTAAGGCTGATCAAATTTGCTATGCTGTGCTGTGCGTTTTCTCGTATGTCGCGGCTGGGCAAGAACAAAAGAAAAATCCGGTTGTTATCACACCACAAATCCAGGACATTCATGCGCAACAAAAGCAACAACATGCTCAACAGCAAAAGCAATTACAACAACAACAACATCAACAACAGCAGCAACAACCTCATCCAAGTAGTAGCGGCGCCACTAGCCCTCGCTCTGGTCCACAAGTGGCCTCACTAAAGCAAACACCTCAATCGGCTAACATCAAATCGCCATCAACGACAACACATTTGCCGCCACAACAAGGGAATGGCAGAAATACAACGATTACCACACGCCACACTGTGCCGATGCATAAGCCATCAGTTACAACGGCCACCGTACAGCCGCAAGCGAAATTACCACACGTTTCGGTCGCTTCTCCAGCAACAATCACCGCCACACCAATCATAGTAACAACGACAACAAGCAGCACCGTGCATGAACATCACCAACAAATCAGCTATCAACAAGTGCCATCCACTTCACCTCTACAACAGCAACAAACACAGCCACCACACCATGCGGCCTCACATAGTCCAGTAAGTCGCACCAGCAGTAGCGGCAGCGCAACTGGTCCCTTACCCCAGTTACCACCACGCGTGCCCTCACAAACTTCCACCGAGAGTTTGCATACTTCACCGCCTGTGGCCAAGTCTCGAGGTCCTCCAGCGGGTCCACCTCCCGCTATACCACCAAGAACCGGTACCATCGCACGCGCAGGCTCCTTGCAAGTACAATCCTCAGTGGCCGCGACATCCTCAGCAGCCAGTAGCGCGCTGTCGGGGGCGCGTAACTTTGTGCGGCAGATATCCGCTAGCTCGACGCCTCCACAATACACTCCCCAAGCGCCACCGCCGTTCGTTATACCTAAGCGCCGCACCTCTTTATCGCGGGCCTCGTCAGTGCTGTGTACGGGAGCCGCTATCAGCGGAAGCGGCAGCAGCCAGCGGCCATCATACGGTAGCATAAATATGGGTGCTTCCCAACAGCAACAGCACTACTCTCAGCAACAGCAGCAGCAGTCCCCGAGCGCCGCTACTGGAAACAAACACTGACGAAGAAGTTCCTTCTTCCGATTCAGCGGCGGCGGCGGAGCAACCGGTGGTGGTGGTCACTCAGGTGTCGAACCGCAACCGCGCGAAGTCTGTCGCACCATCTGCATTCCATGGCTCTGAAAGAGTGAAGCGGAAGTCAAAACAGACAGAGGAAACATTTCCAATGGAAAACGTTGGTTGCTTAACTTCTATACTACGTAGCTGAGCTTCACACGTAAGTATTCTGTGGGAAAAGCGAAAAGTAGTAAAGTTTATTTTAACTGAAAATATGGAAAATTTGTAAGATATTAATTTAAGCATGCAAGTATAAGAAAGCTTTGAACATACATATGTGTTTTATGAAAACTTAATTTTATTTAGAAATTTCGTTTTACATAATTTATTTATTTAGGTCTCTAAATTATATTTTTCATAAAATTTCTAAGAAAAATAGCTTGCGCAAGTTCATTTACTCATCAAGAATTACTATAATCATTTCCTGTAAGCATTTTATAAGACGTCAGATCGACAACAGTAGTTTAGGGGATGGGGGGTTGTGGGGTTAAACCCCACCCCTCATTGCCTTTTTCACATGTAATTAAAATCAAAATTGTTATTACCTTAACATTGTTCGCCACAAGCATAAGAAAACATTAACAATTATTTTTAAACATAGCTTACATATTTCACTAAAATGCTAAGAAGATGGATGAACGACTTACAAGTGTTGCCAGTTTTTTACTTCACGTTAAGTTAAAGATATTATAAGCAGTTTTATAAAAACAAGGAAAAGGAGTTGAAAACATTGAAACGAAAATCAGTGCTTGCATCTTAATTCCCAAATATTGATTTTTTTTAGTTATTCTATTTAAATAAAAGAACAAACTTGTTATCCTAAGGACCGGTTGTTCATATCTGGTTATCACTACCAGTACACTATCGACGATGTCGACATCATGCATGTAACATGTGATCTATAAAGCAGTCGTTGTATTTAACGGGAGCTTCTACCTCCGATTAGTGCTAATCAGATATTGAACAACCGACCCTAACAGGTTTATTCTGAACGTTGCCGATGATTTTGTAACCGCAAAATTTTATTATCAAAAAATGTGCCCACTTATTTTAAAAATCTGTTTTCGCCATTAATAATTATGGCGGGTGGCGTACGGGAACAGCTTCCTCTAAAAACCTGCAAATCGTGAAGTACCTGGAACAGACTTTATTAAAGGAAACTGTTCGTGGCCGAAAAATTAACAGTTTTGCGTTCCCTATGTTCAGTAATTGTCGCGAGATTACCTCAGTTGCCATTTTGGTGATTTTGGAGCTAGATTTAGCTCTTTATTTTCTATTTAAAAATTGGAATTTAGCTCCTAGCTCTTTTCAAAATTATCTAGCACCTTTTTAGCCCCAGAAAGTTTTAGTTGTATTTGGTAATATATTAAAACTAAAAATCTGTAATTTCATTGTACAAGTGTTGACTAAAATTCATTTAGCTTTTTTCAATACCTTCATGCTATTCTATTTCGATTAATACTTAGAAAAGTTCCATTCCTAATGCATGTGGCGCGTAAGGCTATTTTCGATACCTTCACGCTATTCTATTTCGATTAATACTTAGAAAAGCTCTATTCCTAATGCAAATGGTGCGAAAGCAAATGGAAAATGGGAAAGTAAGGGCCGTTTTCTGAAGTAACCTTTAACCTTAAACTCACTTTATATTCAAAGGTTGGAGTAAAAATAAAGCTATGTCTAAAGTTAAGCATTTCTGTTATCGGTTTTTGATGTATGTACGTTTCTTAGTTGTAAACCAATTTAAAAGCGATAACAAAAAGCTTCACTTTAGACAAAATGATACATTTTAATGCAACCTTTAAATATAAAGTGAGCTTTAAAGTTGCAGGTTACTTGACAAAACGGCCCTGAGTCGGTTAGTTTCTACCACGTGCGCGGGAGCACACAAACTATACCGGGTAGTGATTCGAGCTCCGATAAGCTCAGACGGTGTATTCTCTCTCAGGCGGCCACGGTAGAAAAGGAAAGCAAAAACTAAAGCGCTAATTAAATTACAAATTTAGAAATGCAGTGGAAAAACATACATACATTTGTATTAACGGGAAAATACAGACTCCACCATAAACTCTTGGATCTAGGTTAACGAATTCAAAAATTGAATTAAAGAAAATAATTTTTCTGAACGCGGGGATTTTTTATTTACCTAACTAATAATACCTTAAGGAGAGATGGAAATAAAACTTTTCAGAAGAATTTCGCGAAAAAATGATTCGTAACCCGAGTTTTTATGGTCAATTCAAATAATCAAATATCTGAAATTGCAGATTTTAACAGCAGAAACCGATCAACGTAAGGCCAAGCTTGCACACCATAGGGCCGATCTGCATCTCTTGCGAATTTCTCATTGATTAAAGTCAACTTAAAGGCATGTGATGCCAGCAAACAGTGCCCTTTTAGTACTAAAGTTTTAAGAGATTAAATACTTAAACCTTGTGAGCTTGCTATCGTATGCTCTGCACATTTTCGACCCACCGACGTGGGACTGTCCAGAGTGGGAACCACCGTAAGCAGGGCCGTCGAGAGAAACTGATTGAAAAGTCACGGGCCCCTATACATTAATTATATTAATTTAACAGCATGTGATCAACTGCCTGTGTAGTAGTTTTAAGCAGTGCGCACTTCCACTCCGCAGGGACTGGGTTCAAGCCGTGGTCAAAGCAATATCGCAAAAAATATAGAAAACAAGTTTTTTCTTAACAGCGGTCGCCCCTCGGCGGGAATGAACAGCTTCTCATAAAAATACAATCGCCTTTCGGAGTCGGCGTAAAACTGTAGGTCCCTACCTTTTATGTAATAACATCAAAGCGCATGCCACATATTGAAGGGTAAGCTCGGCCAAACACCAACACATTGTGTAAGCGCCAATGTATTAATATTATGTGATCTACTTAGAGTTTTGCCTGTAGGGTTTCTTTAATGTATAGAACCAGAATCAAACAGCTCGAATGGAAATATATTTATTATAAATTCCTATAACGAAGGAGCAGTTTCTAGCGGAAATATGGAAAAATATTTGTCTCTATAATGACTTTAATTTTTTTTTATTAAAGTGTTGATTATAAATATAAGATAAGCTGATTTAACTCAAAATCAGTTAACAAAGTCAACAAAATCATAAGTCTGTCATTATTTTTTTATCAACTTTCACTTTTTATAAGCGCTTTTCTCGCTCTCGCAAACGTTCGGAAAAATGGTTATTGAAAGCATGCGTATTATTTTCTTTTAAAATCAAATTTGAAAAAAATGATAAGTTATCCTTAAATTTATTGTTCAATATTTGATACATATAAAAAATACTTGATATATTATTTAATTCCTTTCCAAAGATAATTTGAGCTAAAGGATTGAGGTAAAGCAGTCCGTAAATTTTGTCGCGTAAATTTCGACTACGAAGTTTATGCTTACGGGAGTATATATGTAGTACCCGATTAAAAACTATTACGCATATCTGCGCCTAAAACTACACTTTAATATTTAACCAAGCAATTTTCGCTGACGCATATTAAAAAGGTATTTACATCTAGTAAAGTGATGCTCAAAAAAGCTATCTTGCCGCGCACAGCCTGATGGAGTACTTATCGTCGTCATATTGTATATGTAAGTACNTATCTTGCCGCGCACAGCCTGATGGAGTACTTATCGTCGTCATATTGTATTGTACGGCTCTTCGCTGCATATTATAAAAAAGCTGAAAGTTTAAAAGAATAAATAATTATTTAATATGACTAATATGGAAAAGACGATCTACTATGTTAGAATATAAATTAATCCTCTACCTTTGAAGTGGAATTTGAAAATTGCATCGCAGTACTTAATCGTAGATAAATAAGTAGGTAGTGAAACGCGCACAAGAAATGGCAGAGAAAATTCTTACAATTAAAATACAAATTATGTATCTATTTACATACTAACTTAAACTATATGGTTATATTTACATACACACTCAAAAATGTACAAAGGGAGAATTATAAGAAAACTAAACGAATCACAAACAAAAAGAAACTGGCTTGACATACAACAAATAATGGAAACACAACTCTTATTGGCGTCATAGACGGTGCGTCTAACTCGCGAGTCACGTTTGTACGTGTTGACTCGTCTTTCAACACAACGAAGTTAACCCCACCGTTCCACCTTCTACAGATTCTGTTAAAAAAGCTGTGGTAAGACAGAAATGTCAGGTGGAGACCGCAAATTTCCACTGTTAAACCATATCTATCTTGCCGAATTTCAGACCATCGCTGTCTTAACAGCAGCTGTAATTTCGTATGTAGTTTGAAAACTGCCATCTACATTGGGTACAGATCGATCTGATAAAAATAAAACTTGTGCACCGCATTTATTTCGGTGTAAATTTTATACTTTTCACCTCACTTCACGATAACGCAGAACGGGAATTGACCCTCTGATTGGCTTGATACCATTTTGAAAGGCATATGTTAGGACAGCCAGTTGTCCACATGAGAAAACGGGACAAAGCTAAAACAGAAATTTGACAGATATTAAGACGCATTTAGTAAAAAATGGAGACGTGGGGTAAGGACCGGTAAACTTCGATGAATTCGGGCAAACACTTCTTGGCCTGTTCAACATTGCATTTATTGGCGCACATGTTTCTATTTTAAATAGATTTGTAAAATGGTTTGTCAGTTAACGGGCAGAGTGTGACTTGCCAGCAGGCTGTCCATATTGTTTAATAAAAAGAAAAGAGCCATTTCTTATAAAAATCGCCAATTTTTATACCCGAGCGCACTTGTGCACAAAGGTATATTAATTTTGTTCACATAACGGTTGTTTGTAACAGCCAAAACGAATCGAGATAGATATAGACAAATGTAGACAGAAATGCTAAGAATGAATAGAGAAATCGATTAAGCCATGTCTGTCTGTCCGTCCGTCTGTCCGTCCGTCGGTGTACACGATAACTCGAGCAAAAATTGATATATCTCAACGAAATTTGGTATGTAGGTTTTCGTTAATCCAAGGTAGGTTGGTATTGAAAATGGGCGAACGGGAATAACGGTAATTTCCAGAAATACGAAAACTGCGATATTTTAGTAACTACTGAAGATAATTCACTCAAAATTGATATTTACAATAATTTTCAGACGAAAAATAATAATATTATAAATTTTTGGAAAATGGGTAAGGGGCGTAGCCACGCCCACTTATGGTTACATGTGTATATCTTGGTAACCGCTGCACCAATTTCTTCCAAACTTGGCACAGTTTTTGGCGTTGATACAGCATACTAAACGGCCAAAAATTTAAAAAATCGGACAATAACCACGCCCACATCCTATGTAACGGT